ACTTATTCCAAAAGAAGGGGCCGATTCATTACAAATTAAGAACCATAGACCTATTTCTTTACTGAATGCAGACTATAAAATTTTTGCCTCCATCTTGGCAGAAAGGCTCAAAAGATATCTAAATAACTTTATTCATCCTGATCAGAATGGATTCCTGCGAAAGAGACAAATTAGGGATAATATGAGGGTAATTCTGGACACTTTGGAATATTATGAGGCGCATCCTGAAAAACAAATGGCTTTGATGTTTTTAGATGCCCAAAAGGCATTTGATAATGTGAACTGGAGATTCATGTTTTTGTTATTGGAACAGATGGGCTTTGCTAGAAAATTTACTCAAGCAATAGAAGCCATATATGATAAACAAACGGCAAAAGTAATGATAGAGGGAGATTTTACAGACTCTATTAATATAAGAAAAGGCACAAGACAAGGATGCCCATTATCACCTTTGTTATTTGTATTGACTCTGGAAGTGTTGAACAGAAATATTAGAGAGGATCCAAATATAAAAGGAATGAAAATTAAGAAGGAGGAATTTAAATTGCAAGCCTTTGCGGATGATTTGGTTTTTATTCTGGAAGATCCTCTAGAAACAGCTTTAAAACTATTGGAAAAGATAGAGACGTATGGTGAGATGGCGGGTCTGAAAATAAACAAAGATAAAACAAAGATCTTGACAAAGAATATGTTACTAAAACAAAGAGATGAACTGGCAGACTTATTGAAAATTCAAGTTACGAATATATTTGGGGATACATCTGACGTCAAGATGTACTACATTGAAAGAGAATAACTATATTAAACTTAAACAACAGATAGCATCTGATTGGAAGAAATGGGAAAACCTACAATTGTCATTGATAGGTAGAATTTCAACAATCAAGATGAATATTTTACCCGGAATTTTATATTTGTTTCAAACCATACCAATTAGGCTTGGTAAAGATTACTTTGAAGAATTAAATAAAATTGTGTTGAAGTGAATTGTGATATGGCAAGGTAAGAAAGCCAGAATAAAATTAAAACTCCTACAAGATGCTAGAATTAGAGGAGGATTTGGCCTTCTGAATTGGGAGTTGTATTACCAAGCTGCAAATTTAATGTGGGTTAAAGAATGGATAACATTAAGAAAGACTAGATTGTTGACATTAGAAGGACATGATTTATTACTGGGATGGCATGCTTTTCTGTGGTATAAGGGAACTAAATCGCAGGGCTATTTTAGAAGGCACTATATAAGGGAGTCTTTATGGTTGAATTGGGAGAAAATTAAGAGAAAATATTATTTGAAAATCCCAGTCTGGTTATCAACTATTGAAGCCTTTTCTTATCCCATAATATATGAGAAGAAACAAACAGTCAGATATGGGGAAATATTGGATGAAAAGAGTGAACTTAAAACAATGCAAAAACTAGAAGAACAAGGCATAAAGATGAATTGGTTTTCATATGCGCAAATACATTCAAGGTATCTTATAGATTCTAAAACGGAGGGGGTTTTATGATAAATTGACTGATTTAGATAGGATCTTGACAGGTACTGATGAAAAAGTGATTAAAACATTATACAGTTATTTGTTGGAAATTATATTAGAGGAGGAACAAGTTAAAGAAACGATGATTGTTTGGGGGAAGAATTTTGGATATGGGATTGATTTGGAGAAATGGGAAAAATTGTGGTCCCAACATTATAAAATGACAATGTCAACAGCTTATAAAGAAAACTTGTATAAGATGTTTTACAGGTGGCATTTTCCCCCGACAAGAATTGCAAGAATGTTCAAGAACAAATCCGAAAAGTGCTGGAAATGTTATCAGATACCTGGCTCATATTACCATATGTGGTGGACTTGTGAGGACGCTAGAAAATATTGGACTAAAATTCGCATATGGTTGGAAAAAATTATAAAGACACATATAGACTTGAAACCAGAGATATTTTTATTGGGAATTTTACCAGATACATATAATAAGAATTTGAAGTATTTGATTGTAAATGTATTAACAGCGGCTAGGATTGTATTTGCTTAAAAACTGGAAGAGTGAGAAAACTCCATCAGAGGAAGAAATTATTAAGAAAATATTGGATTGTGCTGAAATTAGTAAATTGACATTTGAAATTAGAGAACAAGAAGATAAACAATTTTATGAAGTTTGGGATCTTTTTTATCAATGGTTAGATAATAAAACATAATAATAGAACATTTAGACTTAGGATATAATTTTTTTTCTTTTTTTGATATTTTTATAAAACTTTATTAAGATAGATTTGGTATGAACTTATGATTCATTGTAAAATAAATTAAGTAAATTATAGTTATCTCGTTAAAGTATGAATTAATAAAATTATAGATAAATGATTTCTTAGTGATGATATCAGGTTATACAATTATTGATTGATAATATGAGCTATTATGTAATATAATTATACTAGCGATTAGGAAATGGATGCACACAAAAAAAGTGGTAAACCAACCGATGCACTGTTTGTAAATTTATGAAGAAGGATGATGTTTTTATGTCTTATGTTGTATGTCTATGTTGTTTCGTTGTTAAAATAAAAAACTTTTTTAAAAAATGGGGGTGCTTTGGCTGTCTTTGTGCCAAGTTTCTTGAGGCACTCTACGAATTTAATTATCAAATTTATTGGCCACTAATCCTACGGCTAACTTCTCCAATTTAACTCTTTCCAATCAGAAGCTTGATTTTGTACCTAGGTATGGACTTAATACAGTCTTTAAGTTAATTACTGATTTGAAGCTTATTTTAAGTTTGTTATAACTCTGGATGGATGGCTATATAAACATTTTAAGTAAATCAGAAGGGATGAATCCCAAAAATGGCCCAGCTTAGGCTGCCCATGTGCACGTTGCTTGAGGCACTCACGTTGCACAGACTCCTATAATTATCAAATTTATATGCCGCTAATCCTGGGGTTAGCTTCTCCAATTTAACTCTTGAAAAGCACCTTTGGGACATCCTTGCAAGGAGAAAGATTACCAGTTTTGAGCAAGAACGGCGTCAGGCAGAAGCATAATTAGTAAGGCCAGGAGGCCTGGTTAACCTCTGATTTGAACAAAAGCAAGAATCACCTTTTTGGAATTCCCAGACCATCCAAATGCCACCAACTTTGATAGAAGTCTGCTGCATTTGCAAGGCAAGTACATGTTAAAAAGGGAGGTTTTGCAATATATGTTTACTGAGTTTTGTATTAAGGTTTTAATGCAGTAAACCATGCAGAGTCACCATTAGTTGGGCTGCCATATACGTTTTCATGCTAAGTCAAAATAAAGAACAGAACACAGTTGGAAGGGATCTTTGAGGTCTTCTAGTCCAACCCCCTGCTCAAGCAAGAGACCTTAAACTATTGTGGTATATACATACATACATACATATTTATATCCCTTTGTATTATATGTAGAAATAATTCAAGGCAGCAAACATAGCTAATAGAGCTCCAAGCTCGCTTTCTCTGGCCCAGAAATGGCAGATCCCCTTAACTCTGTGAAAGGGACATACTGCACTGGGCCAAAAAAAAAGGAAGCTCAGATGAGATTAAGAGAAAGGAAAGAGAAAGGAAGAAAAAAGAGAAGGGAAGCTCAGATGAGATTAGAGAAACAAAAAGGAAGAGCAAAGAGACAGGAAGCTTAGATCAAATTAGAAGCAGGCTAAAACATATGAAGAACAGTTACATGAAATGAGCATGGCTCGTCTAGGGAAGACAAGAACCAGGTGTGACATGATAGCAATCTTCCAATATTTGAGAGACTGTCAAAAAGGGGGGAACAAACTATTTGCCAAAGCACCCGAAGGCCAGAGACGAAACAACAGTACAGATCAAAGAAAGATTCAAACTAGAAATAAGGAGCAATTTTAAGACAGTCAGAACAATCAACCCATGGAAGTTTGCCTTAAAAGGTTATGAGTGTGAACTTTGTGTGAAAGTGTTTGCAATCTGGAAGTTTGAATGATTACTCCCCTGTGTGTAACCTTACGTGATTTATAAGGCTAGACTTAGTACTGTAATCTTTCCCGCAATCCGGACATTCATACGGTTTCTCTCCTGTGTGAGTCCTCTGGTGTTCTACCAGATGGGAATTCTGCCTGAAACCTTTCCCACAATCCAGACATTCATACGGTTTTTCTCCTGTGTGAGTCCTCTGGTGTATCACCAAATTGGAACTCTTACTGAAAGTTTTCCCACAATACAGACACTCATATGGTTTCTCTCCCGTATGAGTCTTCTGGTGCCGCCCAAGTTCAGATTTGCAACTGAAGCATTTCCCACATTCTGAACAGTCATATGGTTTCTCTCCCGTGTGAGTCCTCTTGTGTATCACCAGGCAGGAATTCTGACTGAAACTTTTTCCACAATCACTACATTTATATGGTTTCTCTCCCGTGTGTGTCCTGCGGTGTTCCACCAGGCTGGATTTCCAACTGAAACTTTTCCCACAAGCCAGGCACTCATATGGTTTCTCTCCCGTGTGTGTCCTGTGGTGTTTCACCAGATGGGAATTCTGAGTGAAACTTTTCCCACAATCCAGACACTGATACGGTTTTTCTCCAGTGTGAGTTCTCTGATGAATCATCAGGTTGGAATTCTGCCTGAAACTTTTCCCACAATCTGGACACTGAAATGGTTTTATTCCTGTGTGAGTTCTCTGGTGTATAATCAGGCAGGAATTCAGACTGAAACTTTTTCCACAATCACATTTGTACGGTTTCTCTCCTGTGTGTGTCCTGTGGTGTTCCACCAACTGGGAATTCTGCCTGAAACTTTTCCCACAATCCAGGCACTCATAGGGTTTTTCTTCTGTGTGAGTCCTCTTGTGTTTCACCAGGTAGGAACTCTGCCTGAAATGTTTCCCACAATCCAGGCACTGATATGGTTTTTCTCCTGTATGAGTCCTCTGGTGCAACACCAGGTTGGAATTCAGACTGAAACTTTTCCCACAAACAGGACATTTATACGGTTTCTCTCCTGTGTGTGTTGTCTGGTGTTCCACCAGGTGGGAATTTTGACTGAAACTTTTCCCACAAACAGGACATTCAAAAAGTTTCTCCCCAGTGTGAGTCCTTTGGTGTCTCACCAGATTGGAATGAATGCTAAATCTTTTGCCACATTGGGAACATTGGTAGAGCTTCTCTCCAGTATGGGTTCTTCCATGAATCATGAGGATGTTTTTCCGAGAAAAGCTTTTGCCGCACTCCAAACATTTATATGGCTTTTCACTGGGTGGATCCTGTTGTGCATAATCCGCTATGATCTCCAATCTGTGCTTTCCCCACATTAGGAGTCTATGGGTTTTTTCCAACACTGATGTACTTGGATTCTTGAGGCGGTGAAAAATATTTCTGATCTCTTGCCTGATGGTTGTTTGGTTCAAGCCATTTTTTCCTACCTCAAAGACTTCAATTAATGCCTGGCAATTTTGGCTATACAAGGAACCATTTTCTTCCTAATGACTCCAAGTTGTTCCTCGCTTCTTTATTTAAAGATTATTCTCTTTGAATTCTCGTTTAATCTTGTTATTTCCAGTTCTATGTGCTCTATTTTTTTTTTCACTCAAAACTTTGTTCTTGTTATTCTTTCCCTCGTCTCTCATCTGCTAAGGAAGAAGAGTTTTTAAACTTGAATTGGAAAATATTTTGAATGATGATTTATTTTGCGCATTAATGCGGCTTCTCATTCTTTGTTGTCCAGAGTACTCTTCTTGGCATCTTCTCTCTCTAAGATTAATATAAATGGATTAGTTTAATTATTGTTGGAAAAATGGCTGCAGGACATATGAAAGCAGCAAAAAAACACCACATATATTAGCACAAAAACAAACAAACATCAGAACTCTATTTTAATCTCTAATATTACTTATGATTCATTTGGAATATAGAAAAGTAACAAGATCCAAGTTCAAATATTGACTCAATCATAAGCATCTATTTTGCCCATGAAACTCCTCGCTTGCCAGGGAAAAAACATCTCAATAACAGAAATCATTACATGAAGGCTGAAGGAGATGGGTGGTTACCAATTATGAAAAATATGTAAAGATTTCTTTAAATGTCCCAAATGTGCCAGCAGAAAAGTACAGGCAGCAGTTAAAATCATGCATTCATCTTAATGGGTTAGTTTATTATTATTGTTTAAAAATGGTTGCAGAACATATGAAAAACAGCATGTGTATTCATGAAAAAAAAAAATCAAAATTCTGGTTTCACCTCTAAAATGAATTATGATTCATTTGGAAAATAGACAACTAGCAAGATGCAAGCTCAAATATCAACCCAATCATAAGATTCTCTTTTCGGCTTGGGTAAATCACTGCTACATGCACACATAGGAGCACATAACTACAAGCTTATCAATTTATGTGTAGATATTATGTGTATTTCAGGGTGTAAAATGTTCCAGAAATGCCTTTGCTCAAATTTTTTTGACCTAATTTTAGAAAGGTTTTTCTTTAAAAGGTTTAAAGCAGGGGTGTCCAACCTTGGCAACTTTAAGACTTGTGGACTTCAGCTTTGCTGGCTGAGGAATTCTGGGAGTTGAAGTCCACAAGTCTTAAAGTTGCCAAGGTTGGACACCCCTGGTTTAAAGCATCTGTTTTGCCCATGAAGCTCCTCGCTTGCCATAGAAAGAACATGTCGATGAAATCTCAAGGAATCGTTTCGTGAACTGTGATGGAGATGGGTGGCTAAGAAATATGAAAAATGTGTAAAGATTTCTTTAAATTTCCCAAATCTGCCATCTCCAGGGAGAAAATCACAGGCAGAAGTATTAAATTGTGCAGAAGAATAAAATTCGGGAAGGGAAATAATATACAACAGCAGCCAACACGTTTCACCCTCGTTGCTTCCTCTCCCGCTTCCCCGCCGTGGAGTAACCCAAAGGGCCGGACTTGCTCCCGGCTTCTCCTCCGACCTGACCTCCACTCACCTCCCAGGAGCCGCTTCGACCTTCCAAGTGTCACGAGAGGCTCCGCCGACGCCACTATCCTTCCGTGGCTGAGCCGGAAGAGGAAGTTCCCCTGCCCTCCACCGCCTCTCCTTTACAAACCTCTCTAGCAATCCATCAATCTATCGTTTCAACCCGTTCAATCTCAGCCTCTGCCCCTTTCCTAGACTAGCTCGGTCGCGGCTTTGTAAGGCGTGACTGTTGCTTCTCTGTAGCGCGCCATCTAGCGACGTATGGTTGAAAGGAACACGCTCGTTCTTACCTATGGCGTTTGAAGCTGTTCTTCCTGGTTCCGCCCTTCCTTGTATACCGCCAAGTCTTCTTTGACTCCCATCGAGCTCATTGATAGCTTTTCTCCCTGGTGATCCATCCATCCCCAAACCTTTTCTTTCAGGTTCCCCAAGAGGGCATGGCCTGTCCCTGGAGCCGAGCCCGAAGTTTCGTTTGCCAAAAGCAGCAACTAAAATGAAAGGAATCCTCCCTTTTGGGTGTGGATCTAGAATTGACGTTCAAATAGGAAAAGACAAGACTGCACCTCCCTTGGTTCATGATAGCTTTTCTTCTTGGGGTTTGTGCGGGTGTGCAGGATATCTCCTCAAAACCTGCCTCTGCAATTTAGAGAATCTGTAAGACTGAAGCTTGACCCCTTGTCTCTGCTGGGATTTTAGTTTCTTTTCCTTCCATGTTCAGCTAACCAGCATGGGATATCCTACTGGTGGCTCCATCCCTTCATAGCAATTCTAGCCTGAATTGCCTATAGAGATTCCCAGTCAGCCAAGTCATGATATCAATGGTTTTCCAGAAAAATTAAAGAAAGCATTTTGCTTCAGTTTGAAATGCGGACAACAAGACTCACCTCTAACGGCTTGCACCTGTCTTGAACAGTGAAGAGACACAGGACAGAAAACATCTTGTGGCCACAAAGGCTCCATATCCATTTGCACGACTCATGTGACCCCAGGACACAGATCAACTGCCAGGTGGCCTCAAGGACTCTTTCAAAGAATGCAAACGACCAGCTGTCTGCAAGGACTAGGAATCCTTCCACCCCCCACCATCCAGTCAGAGCTGAAGAAGCTTCTTGGATGAGAAGCAAAACCTCTTCAAAGAAAAACCAGAAAGTCCAGTTGCCTTCTGATAAAGCAGATCTTGTCAGGGTCCCAAGTAACAGACCCAATGCAATCAAAACTCTGAGGCCAAGCTGCTCCTCAAAATCCAGATTTATTAAACAGGTCATATTGGCACATCTGATGAAAACCCGACTCTGAAGGTCCCAAAGTTTTCCCCACCCAAATTAAAAATCAAAGTTCTTCTCCCCAGTCCACCAACCAGGTTAACAGTCCCAATTCCAGCTGGTTTCAGTCCACACCTCCCCAGCACCTGGTGAGAACGTCCTTGGTTCTCAGGAGAATTTTATTTTGGCTACAGATCCCCAGCTATCTGTACTCCCCCGTTCCATTCCCACAGCTCCAACCCGGCTTGCTGCAGCAGCCCTGAATACGCCCCAAAATGGCTTCAGGGTTGACAGCATTAGCACTAATTGCTGTTGCAACCCGAGAACCACCCATATTCTCAAGAGAGGGCTGAAGTATAATTTCCCCCCTTCTGGACAGTTGGCATCCTGGCAGGCTTTATACCTTCACCAGCAGTTTTCTATGCATAATAAAATCATGAGAGGTTTTCCTGGCAGAGCAGTTCAAGGCATCGCTGCAAATTCAGATCTTTTCTAATTGCAGCTGAAGAAGGCAGTGGAAGGTTGGCAGCTTAGGACTACCACTTACTCTCTGCTTGCACCTCTGAGTTTGCCATCCAGAGAAAGGGCTGTGTAGGAGGAAGACACCTGGGCCCCTTTTAGTCTGGTGCGGAATGCAATGGTGTGGGAGTATGCCCAATGCCAAGGCTTTGTGTTTTCCTATTTGCTATATATGGGGTTGATTGCTTTCTGTATTGTATTGCTGTAGCCATTGGTGGGATTCCAATTTTTGTTACTACCAGTTTTGCGGGCATGGTTTGGTGGTCATGTGACTGGGTGGGTGTGGCTGGGCATGGCCAACTTGATGTCACTCATGTCAAGGGATGCCTTGCTTGGCCTCTCCTTGCCTTGAAGGCCTCAACGAGATACAGTTTCCCTGTCTATTTACTACTACTGAATATCCAAAATTCACTATCTAACCCTATGTATATATGCCATATGTGTACATACGTATTACATAGTATAGGCTCTATACTATACTATAGTGTGTATAGGCACACAAAAAGATATATTATCTACTATATATATTATACTTTATTTATACTGTATACACACACACACACACACACACAGCTCTATAGTCCACCTCACTGTGTTTGGAAAAACACACCCAGAGTCCACTTTCTGCCACACATTTAACTATACCTTCTGCATATTAGAACATTACACATGCCTTCAGATGGCCTTCCCTAGCCTGCACATGACTGTTACAGCCCGATGCCTCTAAAATGTGGTAGAAATCACTTAACAACGCTCTTGCTTAGCAACCAGAATTTTGGGCTCAATTGCGGTCATAAATCAAGGACTATCTCTGCTTTCCTCTGCATGGCAGCCTTGTCCTAGTAAACTTCTCCTTTCTGGCAATTTTCCTCTCTTGTTAGAGGCACCAAAATAATCCAGATGAGCTAAGATTTCCTGTTGGAGCAGGGGGTTGGACTAGATGGCCTCAGAGGTCCCCTCCAGTCCTAGGTTGCTGTGCTGCTTCAAAGCATTTTCTGAAGCCACATGTAGTGCCAGGGTTTGTGGTTCTTCCTTCCTCTCCTTTTCTTCTCTCCCTCCCTCCCTTCCTCTCTTCATGTATGTATGTATCCATCCATCCATGTCATTCACTTTCCTCTCCCTTCCTTTTTTTTCTTCCTTTTTCTTTCTTCCAGATTCCATACAGCTCTGGACCCAAACCAAATACAAGTGGTCCTCGCTTAATTCCCAGTTGCTTAGCAAGTGTTCTAATTTACAACTGACCTCCCCAGAGCTACTTGAGCGGTTTTTGGAGTTTTGACAGCCACACACACACATACACGCAAAATTTATGACCAGTTACAACATCCCACAGTCATGTGACGGAGGTTTTCTATATTTTTTGCCAGTTTCCAACAATTCCTTCTGGTTTCCGGTTAAAAATGCCCACCGGGGAAAATAGACTTGTTTAACAACCACAGTGTTTGCTTAATGACCACAAGGTA